GTGTCTCGGCGCTAAGCATTGGCATGAAATACTGTCGTGCCTCCTTTACGTTAATATAACGTGAAGAAAAATAAAAATATTCAAATTTGTTAAAAATGGGACAATTTCGTTTTAAATATTATAATACAACAAAAGTTTCTTCATTAATGTAGCATTTTATTCTTTTCGTAAAATATTAACATTATTAAAAAAATATTAAAACGTGATTTGTTTTTAAAAAAAATAATAAATTTTCAAGAGGCTTTTAGAAATCAGCGCGGGAAAGAAGTGCACACAGATTAATAATTTTAATAATATTTTAATGAAGATTTATATACAGCTACTTATGGTAATTTTTTTTGTTTCGGTATAATATTATAGGTTTAATTCTCGATGTATTACCTGTTCTGTGACAATTCCTCCGATGTAGCAGAATATAAAAATATTGAAACTCATTGATAAATATGGAAAAAGATAAGATTAGTTTTGTCATATCAATTGTTTCCCAACTCTACGCAGAAAAAAATTTGTACTAAATTTGACGTATTTTAGGTGTCCAATGAGCCATTCAAATTTTTATGTAAATGTAATACGTATTATATGAGAAAATAATATTATTTATGTAAAAAATGAAGATAAAAATCATTTTGATACAATTTTAAAACAAATTTTGAAAGTATATTTAGTCAATAATATTAACATTCACATAATATATTGCATTAGTTTTATCTTAGAATTTACGTTTTCAAGCTATGTTTATTTTATATGTTCACCCTTTCATTGTGAATTGTGTTCCTTTAATATTAATAATTGTTGAATGTCAATTTAACACAAAATGTTCAAGCAACATAACACGTTAAATTAACATATGAGTATGTAAAAAATCCAATCTCTCTATTTTGTTCATGATCGGTTCTAACACGAATATAAAATGTTTTTTATAATGTAAAATTTAATACATGAGCTTTATTATACAATTTATCGTTTTTAATATATTTGTAATAATAACTATGTTTGACTTTTCATAAATAAGTGACATTCGTTTGTGTGAAATAAAATTTGCATTTTCTCACATCTATAGCGTACCGTAGCAGTATACCGTAGCATAATATCCAAACAAGCACATTATTGTCGTGCATCCCGTTAATTCCACAAAAGCTGGTTTATGCATAATACTTTCCAGTTGTGATATAAAACTGAAACAATTGTGATATAAAATGTATAAATGTGTAAATTTTTTTTATAAATAAGTCATACATTAAACTGATTAAACATACCTTTTCACGAATATAATTGACAATAAATTCCTTTTTAATAATCCATAAGAAAAAGAAAATTAATTTATCCTAATTTTAATGTAAACCTCTGACCTTTAAATGATTAATTATTAATTTAACTGACAATTTAGAACTTTTTTTATAGAGGATTAGCAAATATATGTTTTTTCCGAGTGTCTTTTTGTGAGTGAGTTTTGTAATACTTCAATATTCTTAAGTGATATTCTACGATAGCAGCCAGTTTTTGTTCAGCTTTATCTTTTTCTCTGTTTGATTTTGAAGTAATTCATGTAGTCACAGGTATAGCACGTTTAACTGATCACAAGCATGTATCGCGAAGACAGCAGCCAGACTGTAACCTCCGATAATACAAGTACTTATTACTAATATTACCAGTTATTGCAGAATTACCGCAATTTCATTTTGAGGTGTAAATCTCATATCAATTATTTTACTATAAATCGTACATGTCAGTGAACGCGTTGTAAAAATCTCGTTGCCAATGATGATAATAGCAGTTCTCATCGATTGCCCTAAGCCGTACAATAGGCAATCGCCTTGCATGATTATCCCAGATTATAATAATGAAACCGCTGAACTTCGCACGTTGTAACATCACTTCATGATGGTTGATCTTTTGCACGAGATTCCAGTCTTTCTCCATATATTGTATTAATTTGTGTATGTCATTGCTACGCTTCAGCAACTGTATACCAATATCAATAATGTATTGTGCTCATAAATCTGTTGATAAATGATCCTAAGATACTCAGTTTTTTCTTGATATCCTTTGCTTCAAATAACACATAGAAGATACATGGTATCGTTGTGACTGCTATTATGCTTGAACAAATGAAAATTTGCAGTAATATCATGATTTTACACCCTAGATTCAGTGTATTTATTCGGTGTATTTGTGACCTATAATTGCACCAATTGACTTGAGAAACTATCGACTAATTTGTAAATTGTAATTGTTATATTTTTTCGATCCGTAATCTTCTGATGCACGTTTCGAATATTTGACATGATCACTGCACGAAAGCACACAATATACTGCCACGGATATCTCATCGTACTGCAATATAAAAAAGCGCCTGCCAATCATCAGAAGAGTTTAATGAACGGTCTTAAAAAGTGTTTCTATAGATTGATGTTTTCTTTCTAACGTATTGCGTAATCAATGAGCACATTCAGTTCTGTATAATGGAAAACGTGGAAACATGGAACGTTTCTAATTGGTTACTCAATACTCATTACGCTTAAAATATCAATCCATACAAAGCTTCTTTATTCTGAGAGGGGCGTATATTAAATCGATATATTTGCCCATTCAAAGTTTCTATCACGCGAAGTCTGAGTGAATATCGCATGAAGGAAATGTTGAAGAGAAATCATTGAAAATGCACTTCAATTTAATAGCCTTTTTCGATTCGATAACATATTTTAATTAGTTTTTTTCGCATATTGATTAAATTAGAATAAATTAATAGAACTTTATTATTTATAAGTGATGATAAAAGTTATAATATCATAAAGAATAGGAAATATTATAAATAAATTTAGAAATTATTGAATATGAAAATTAGAAAAATATTTTGCTTAAAATTTTGAATAATTTCGTGTACAATAATTTTGTGTTATTATACATTATAATTAATTTTGTTAACTTTTGATACAAAATATATATTAAGTTTGAATGTGAATGTAATCGTAAAATGATTAACTTTATTGACCTTTAATAACTACAAGTCTTTTGACAAATTCTGAACGAATATTTTAATCGGGTCTAAACCATGATTTGCACTAGTATGATAGATACGTACGATTATATGTACGGTTGTAAAATTCTAAATTGTACGTAGAAAAACTTCGAACTTTTATTCCGTATGTTGTGAAAGTTTGATACTACAGACTCTGATACTACATACTCTGTATTTGAAACAAGAAATTTTGTTGTAAATATACAAGGTTTATAAAATTAGCTTACAATATTTTTCGCATTTTTCTATAAGCTTTTGTTTATAGTTATTGACATAATTTGAAAAATTTTTATCAAAATTTTTTTTGTTTACATATTTGGATTTTATAGAATTCATTTGATTAAAGAGAAATAATTAAAATCGTAATTGAAGCAGAAAGAAGCACTAATTTAATATATTCATATATAGAAATTAAAAATACTTTTAGTTTTGATTTTAATTCTGTAATATTAAAATTATTTTTTTACAATAATATAACTATGTTATCATAAAAATATTATAATGTATTTTGTAGTAACTTTACATGTATTTACATATATTTTTTATGATTTTGAGAATTTTAATAATTTTTTAATATCCAGTTAAACTTATATTTAACTAGTGAAACATTACGCATAATATTTTACGTGTTATGATATTGAAACATAATTATATGATGAAATGTCCTAAAATATGTTAGAAAATTTAAAATCTTTTTTCAAATTAAAAATTTTTTTTTTTACTACATTCCATTCTTCCTTATATGACATATACTCATATCGGGTCTTAGACTACTCCTTTTATCTCGGAAACAGAGCATTTTAGAAAAAAAAAAACGTTTCAGACAAAAGTTGCGGGTTTCTAAATGATCTATTTAGTGATCTGACCAATCTGATCTTGGTTGGTGTCACCAAGGTCAAAGCAATGTCACTTTGAATTTTTTAAATGAACCCTCTATTTTTCATTGCATATTCTTGTACCTCGAGAGCTTTTGAAAAAATTATAATAAAATAATTTTTCATGAAATACTTTTCGAATTATAAGGCTTTGCACTGAAAATTCATTTTTATGTAAAAATGAAACTAAGAGAAACAATCTCTAGTGATTTTTTATCTTACAAATGTTATCCAAGACATGATCCTAAACGACATTCAAGAGATTTTAGTCGTCAGTCGGACATCTTGCATAATGCTAATGCCGGCGGTACTGTAACGTTCAAGTTTTGTCTGAAACGTTTTTTTCTAAAATGTTTTGTTTCCGAGACAAAAGGAGTGTATGGGTGATCTGAGCCTGTATATAAAAAAAAAGAATTATTATATCCGATTCCAAACTGCACTTGGCATATTTAATTAATCGCTTGCTGCCACACATCGTCTTGTCTTTGTTACTTATGCAATAATAAGAAAAATGAGACGATGTTATGTCGATTTGTATCACTAGATAGAAAGCACCCGATATCAGCCTTTTTTTCAGTATATCATGAAAGCACGCAATGCACTGTCACGAATGGGTAGTTCATTGTACCAGAGTTGAATATGAAGTAGAGCCTGAGCAAACCTTCGAAAACTTTTGGATAATATTACAACTGCTTTGAAAGGGTATATCCGATCAATAATTGTTCGCCGTGAATTTATATACCAATTATGCAAAGAAAATGTTGCGTGTCACAAGAAAAATAAATTCACTGTAATTACCAGATATGTTTTTTTTTTATTCGATATGCATACTTCCCATATTTTTAAAACTGATAAATATAAAATTTCGCTAAAAGTAAAAATAAATACTTTTCAGTATACATATAAAAATTATAATAATATAATATATACAGAAAGAAAAATTATAGAAAATTATATGATACATTTAAAAATAATTTGATAACTGACAATCTCAGATTTTACATAAACATTGATTTTATTTACTAAATCTTATTTTCAAGATATATTTATGTATTCTACAAAATATATATATTATGCATATTTTTTTACGTTTCATTAACTATGTTTTACATAGTCATTGTTCGTAAGAAATTTAAATATACCATAGAAGTTTTAATTATCTGAAACAAATATGTTTGTTTCTACACAATGCAAAGCAGTATATATTATTCTACAAGATACATTAAAATTTGTACATTTTTTTTGAAATTTCAAATTATGCTCATAATTAATGGACATAATGTATGGACATAATCATAATAGATAATTCAATTCAGCAATCCACTTTTTTAAAGTGATTATACTTCATAATTAATAAAATATTAATAATATATGGAAAATTAGTTTACTATTTAATGAAACAAAAGAAAGATATATTTGTATAACTTACATCACCAAAAGTTGTGATAGATAAATGGAATAATTTTCCTGCTGTAAACTTAATTACATCATTCGATCGGGCGATAATCAGAATGAGACCGCGTGCAGTTTTGTGATGTAGATTGTACCAGTCAGTCATATATGTCATTTCCCCGACCAGTTTACACTAACAAATTGACACAAAAGTAAAATTTTTTATGAAAGAATTTAATAATTGGATTAATAAAAAGTTAAAAATAAGTATTCATCCTTCGTTGAAAGTTAGGTAATTACAATTTAGCATTTTGTTTCTATTAATCTAAGTGTTGTAATTAATTACATTACATTCTTTCTAAAAATATTGACTGCGTTGAGCAGACAAAGCTGCGCAGTAAGTGATTCTTTATTATAATACGATACTTTATTATAATACGCGCACATCTCCATTAATATACCTATTGAAAAGTTAAAAGTAGGAACCAATGGCCACGTTTATTTTGCAGTTTTTTTTTCTCTGCACTCTGATTGGATTAGTTTCAAATCTAGAGAAATCGGTCTCTCTCTCAACGAAGAAAAAATAACACAATTGCAATTAAACTATTATGTATTGAACATGGTCAATAATTATTTTAAAAAATGTCAAAATCAGATGTATCCAGTATGTCGATAACTTTTAACGACAGATTAGTACATTTTGTTATCGTTGCATAAATAATATGGTACAAAAAATATTGTACAACGACATAATAATATCGAACTGTCGTTAAGGGCTTCTTTCATCAATTTTTGGTTAAATTAATAGAAATCAATTCCTAGAAGCGCCAACAGCAATTTAATGCATCAGAACGCCTCCTTTTTCTTTCTCTTCTGAAATAACTGTTTTATTCTCACAATGGCCATCATGATGATTGAATAAATCGATTACCGTTAACTAGAGTTGATGAAAGAGGCTCTAAGATTTATTGGTTTCAATGTGTTTTAGTTTTTAACCTGCTCTGTGATAATCTCTCCGATGTAGCAAAATATAAAGATATTGAAACACAATGATAAATACAATATGCCATAAGATATTATTTTTGTTACATCGAACGTTTCCCAAGCCTAAAAATTAAAACATAAGCTTATTTTTTATTTTATAATGATTTTCTATATATATTTTATAATAGAATAACAATGTTTTTGTTTTTCATAAGTAAATGACAGTAGGTATGCCTAATAAGTTTTTCATTTTTATGATCGCTAGCCTACCGTAATAATGTAATATCCAAGCATGCATATGGTTATCGCGCTTCCAACTAATTCCACAAGAGCGACTTTATGCATAATACTTTCCAGTTGTGATATAAAACTGAAACGTGTAAATGTACATAAATGATACAGTAAAATTTTGTTGTAAATAAGTAGGGTGCGAATGTTCGGGCACGAATGGCTCGGGATACTCGTGGAGAACCACTGTGTGCAAGTGAGTCGGATGCTCATTGAAATAAAATAGCAACATTTCTCGTGAAAAAATTCGCCGACTGTACTCGATTTATTCGAATATATCTCTTGGCGTGCGACCTACTCAATGCTTTTCAATTGCTTAACATATTTTAACACAAACGTACACACAAGAATACACAAAATGTAGCATTGTGCAATTCAATTGGAACAGAATACGCTATGCACGGTTGAGATATACGTAACGTAACTTGTAGATTTTCGACAATGAATTTTAGAACACAGCCTGTAAAGGCTGCTAAAGTAATCTGCCAATAATTTCGATTTATACAAATATTATTTATATTTATTACTTTGCTCGTGTCGATTCACAGAATATGAAATTATCTTATACAAGTAGGTAGAATAATGCTTACAATAAAGTCGATCCGGTTTTGTAAAAACATCAAAAATATTTTTAACAATTTCATCAATTGAGGCCAATTTTTCCTCTAAAGATTTCGTACATTTTGAGGAAAAAGGTTCTCACGTGATCTCGAATCAACTAAAAAATACAAAAAAAATTTCTGCGCTCTATTTCCTTTGAATAGGCGCCAACCGAGATATATTTGGATAGATCGTGTACAATCGGGCTTTGAGTTATTTCTCCTCGAAAAATGTTGCTATCTCATTTCAACGAGCATCCGACTCATTCGCACGAAGCGGTTCTTCGCGCACCATGGGATGCCTGAACATCCGTGCCTTATATCATAAATAAGTCACCGTAAGGGTGGAATCCCACAATACTTGATTTCTTACATGCAGCGCTTAATGTATGAACGAATTCTAGGATACATTAGAGCAGCTATGTATGCATACTTATCATTCAAGAAATTGATCATTGTGTGATTCCATCTTTATATTGTATTTATATTTCTCATTAATACAACTGACAATAAATTCACTTTTAATAATACATAAGAAAAAGAAAATTAATTTATTCTAATTTTAATGTAAGTATCTATTTTTTTAAATGATTAATTATTAATTTAAATGATATATTAATTTAAATGAATAATTTAGAAATTTTCTATAGAATATTAAAGGATGTGTATTGCTTTTAATGAGTGTCCGCTTGTGAAATACCTCAATATTCTTAGATGGCGTTCTACAATAGTAGCCAGATTTCTTTCAGTTTTACCATTTTCCTTTGCTTTATTTTTAATTAATTCATGCAGCCACGCGTATAGCACGTTTAACTGACCACAAGCATGTATCGCGAAGACAGCAGCCAAACTGCAACCACCGGCATTACAGAAACTTATTACTAATAGTACCAAGTTTTGGAAAACTAACGCGATTTCGTTCACAGGAGTAAATCTTGTGTCGATGACTTTGTTGTAAATTGGACACGTCATCAGATGTGTTGTAAAAGTCTCGTTGCCGATGATGATAGTTGCAGTTTTCATCGATTGTCCGAAGCCGACAAATAGACAACCACTTTGCATCATTATTCCGCAAATTATAGTAATGAAACGGCCGAATTTGGCATGCTGCAGCATCACTTCTCGTTCATCGATCCTTTGCATAAGATTCCAGTCTGTCTCCATATGTCGTATTAATATTTGAATGTCATCACTACGCTTCAGCAACACCCAGTAATGTATCGAGCTCACAGATCTGTTGATTAGTGGCCCCACGGCATGCAATTTTTGCTTGATATTTTGTGCCTCAAATAATACATACAATAAACATGGTATCGTTGTGACTGCTATTATGCTTGAACAAATGAAAATTTGTAGTAATATCATGATTTTGCATAATGAACTCGATACATTTATTTGTGGCCACGCACCGATTGGTTTCAAAAGCCATCGATTAAATTGTAAATTGTAATCGGTACGTGTTTTTAGTTTGTCACTTTCTAATGCACATTTGGAATTTGACATGATCGTTGCACGAAAGCACACAATGTACTGCCATGGATGAACAACTCATCGTACCGGAATATGAAGAAGCGCCTGCGTCAATCTTCAGAAGAGTTTAATAATCGGCCTAACATTATAAAGGGCTTTCACGCTTGGATTGATATTTCCTTCACAACTGCCGTAACCAATAAGGACATTCAGTTCCGTGTAATAGTAAACGCAAAACATCTCTGATTGGTGAAGCGATATACACGGATATGAATCCATATAAAAGCACCCTCACTCTGAGACGGGCATAGGTTCAATCGATATATTTGCTCGTTGAGAGCACAGTGAAAGAAACCATGGTTGAGACTTTCTATTGTCCGAAGTCTGAGTGAATATGGTGTGTCATGAACATTGTGAGGAAAGATTCGTGTAAGACATTGAAAGTGACTTCAACTTAATGAACTTTTATGATATTTTTTTAAACTATATCAGCGTTTTCTGCGTATTGATTAACAGAATAAATAAGTGGAGTTTTATTATTTTTAAATAGTGATGAAGATTATATTACAATATTATGAGATATAGAAAATATTATAAATGTATGAAAATCAGAAAAATATATTGTATAAATTTTTGAATAATTTGATGACTAATTACTCTGGGCAGTTCTAATATTATAATTTTGCTCATCAACTTTTTGTGCGTATACACACACACACACACACACACACACACACACACACACACACACACACACACACACAGTGTGTATATATTAAGTGAATGTGAGTGCAAAATGATTAACATTATTATCCTCTCTGACTATCTTTTTGACCAGAGCTGAAATTTTAATCACGTCTGAACACAATGGCACTTATATATGATCATACTTACGATTCATGTGTATGGCTGTAGAGTCCTAAATTGTAGAAAAGCTTCAAACTTTTGTTCATCCATATTAGAGGTTCGATATTATGGATTTTGTACTTCAAACAGGACATTTTGCTGTAAAAATAGTTTTAGAATAAAACTTCTCTGCACACATTTTTTTTGCATTTTTCTGTAAAGCTCTTGCTTACAGTTTTCGACTTAACTTTTAAAATTTTACCACTACGTTTCTGTTCTATGCTTAGATAAGAATACTCTCAGTTGTAATAATATAAGAAAAACATTCAACATATCCGATTGCAAATTGCGATCGTCATGTTTATTTAATCCAACGCTTCCTGTCATACATTAGATGCTTTCCATTGTGTAATACAAGCGACACTAGTGTTCGACAACAATGTAGTGTATTATTATAATCACTAGTTGACACACAATCGTTATTTTCTTTTGTATTTCATAAGTAACAAAGACAGAACGATGTCGATTTGTCATGAAATGAAAAGTATCCACTACCAGCATATGTTCAGTATAATTATGAAAGCACGCAATGCACTGTCACGAATGGGTAGTTCATTGAACTAGAATTGAATTTGAAGTAGAGCCTGAGCAAACCTTCGAAAACGTTGGATAACGTTGAATAACGTGATATTACAACTGCTTCAGAAAAGTAGCATGTTTAGTCAATAATTGTTTGTCGCGAATTTGTAGTACTATCCTTAGAAAGAATATCGCGTGTCTCGCGTGTCTCGCGTGTCGCGGAGAATAAATTCATAGAAATGAATACGCTTTCTAGGAATCTACCTATTATGTTGTTTTTCATTCGATTATATGCAGTATCATACTGCTTCTCTTACTGTTAAAAAGGTACACATAAAAATTTCGATAAAAATGAAAATTGGTACTTTTCAACATAGAAATTACAATAACAGTCATTAAAAAAATTATAAAATATATGTATATAATATTTGAAAATAATTTAATGACTGACAATCTCAGGTTTTATATAATTTTTGATTTTATTTACTAAAACTTATTTTCAATGTATTTATTTATTCTACAAAATATATATTATGCATATTTCTTAACGTATGTTTCACTAATCATTTTACGTAGTCATTGTTCGTAAGAAATTTAAATATACCACAGAAGTTTTAATTACCTGAAACAACATGTTTATTTTTACACAATGCAAAGCAATACATACCATTCTATAAAGTAAATTAAAATTTTAAATTTCAAATCATACAATACTTGTATAAATTAAATGTATGAACATAATGGAAATTCAATTCAATAGTTCAATTTTTATAAGATGATCATAATTCGCAATTAATAAAATATATAGAAAATTAATTCATTCTTTAACGAAACAAAAGAAAGATATATTTGCATTACTTACATTACCAAATGTTGCGATAGACAAACGGAATAGTTTTCCTGCTGTGATCTTAATTACGTCATTTGATCGAGCGATAATCAGAATAAGACTACGTGCAGTTTTATGATGTAGATTATACCAGTCAGTCATATATACCATTTGCCCGACAAGTCTGCACTAACAAATTGACATAAGAGTTAAATTTTCTATGAAAAGTACTCGACAGTCCGATTAATAAGATGTTAAAAATAAGTATCCAGTTTTGTTAAAAGTTAGGTAATTATATTTTAGAATTTTTTCTATTAATATAAGAGTATTATACTCCACTTTCTTCTAAAAATTTACCTGCGTTTAGCAGGCAAAAGTTCAGTAAGCGCTTAATGATTGTTTATTATAACATGCTTTTTTATTATAATACATTTATAATTCTAATATCATAGATTTATTGAAAAACTGGAAACAGAAACCAATGGCTACGTTCATTTATTTTGCAGTTTTCTCTGTAATGCGCACAGGATTATTATTTTAGATCTAGAAAAAAATAGTTTCATATATCTCAACAAAAAAACTTCTAATATTTGCAAATGGAACATTGTGTATTGAACGCGGTCATTGACTGAATTATCAAAATCATTTTCAGTATCTCAATTTTATAATTTTTAACAGATAACGACAGATTTGTATCATTATGTTATTGACACACAGATATTGTAAAAACAATGATAATGTAACGATACCGAACTGTCATTAAGAGTCACAGAATTGAGGTACTGGTTTCAATATCTTTTAATTCTTAACCTGTTCTGTGATAATCTCTCCGATGTAGCAGAATATAAATATATTGAAACCCATCGATAAATATACAATAAGGGAAGATGTTACTTTTCCTGTATCAAGTGTTTCCCAAGCCTACACAGTTGGAAAATTTGTATTAAATTTATAACGTATTTTTGTTGATCCATTCAAATTTATTGTGCTAATGTAACACAAGTATGTTATAAAGTAATGCAATTGTTATATAAAAAATTCACATAAAAACACTTTAATACAATGTAAAATCAAATTGCGAAGATATATTTCTTGAATGATACTAACATTTATAATATGTTAAATTAATACGTGATTTTATGATAAATTAATACACTTAATTCATTTATTTTAAAATTAAATTTTAAAAATTCGTTTTTTGTTATACATTAATCTATTTATGAATCTTATTTTTTTAATACTAATTGTTGTATCCATTAATTTAATACGAAATGTTCAAACAATATAATAACATTATTTTAAATTAACACATGAGTATGTTAAAAATTTTACACAATACCTTGTCAACCGATTTTTTAATACAAATCCAAAATATTTTTTATTATGTAAAATTAAAAATTAGAGCATGTCTTTATTGTATAAATAACGTTTTTAATACATGTTTTATAGTAGAATTGCGATATTTTCTTTCTTGTGAATAAACATATTTTAATTTTAATGTTTAACGAATAAATATATTCTAATAAGATTTTCTTACATTTCTAGCGTACCGTAATAGTATAATATCCAAGTAAGGACATGATTATCGTGCACCCTGTTAATTCCACAAGAGCGGCTTTATGCATAATGCTTTCCACTTGTGATATAAAACTGAAACATATAAATGTATATAACGCAGTAAAATTTTTTTATAGTCATCGGTTCATTGAACTTATGCTTTTTATGATCACAATTCACTACGAACTTCCTTCTTAATTCACAAGAATTAATTCGCAAAAAAATTTATTCTAATTTTAATGTAAATCTGTCTATTTTATTAATTGTTGATTATTAATTTGAATGTAATTTAGAAGTTTTTTATAGAATACTATAGAAGATATGTATTCTTTTTTATCGAGTGCCTGCTTGTAAAATACCTTAATATTCTTAGATGATGTTCTATGATAGCAGCCAGTTTTTGTTCAGCTTTATCATTTTCCTTCGCATTGTTTTCAATTAATTCATGTAGCCACGCGTATAGCACGTTCAACTGACCACAAGCATGTATCGCGAAGACAGCAGCCAGACTGCAACCACCGGCAGTACAGAAACTTATCACTAATATTACCAGGTTTTGCAGAATCAACGCGATTTCATTCAGAGGGGTAAATCTCGTATCGATAATTTTGCTGTAAATCGGACACGTTGTCAGATGCGTTATAAAAGTCTCGTTGCCAATTGTGATAGTAGCAGTTTTCATTGATTGTCTTAGGGCGAACAATAGACAACCACCCTGCAGCATTATCCCACAAATTATGGTAATGAAACGACCGAACTTGGCATATTGCAACATCACTTCATGTTCGTCGATTCTTTGCACGAGATTCCAATCTATTTCCATATGTCGTATCAATTTGTGAATGTCATCTCTACGTTTGAGCAACACCCAATAATGCATCGAGCTCATAAATCTGTTGATCAGTGGCATCATAGTATTTAGTTTTTGCTGGATATTCTCTGCCTCAAATAGCACATATAATAAACACGGTATCGTTGGGACTGCTATTATGCTTGAACAAATGAAAATTTGAAGTAATATCACGATTCTACACACTGAACTCGATGTATTTATTTTTGGCCACGCACCGATTGGTTTGAGCAACCATCGATTAAATTGTAAACTGTAATCAATGTGTTTTTTTGATCCCTCTTTTTTGGGCGTACATTTGGAATTTGACATGATCACTGCACGACGAAAGCACACAATGTACTGCCATGGATGGATACTTCATCGTACTGG